CAGGCAGACGCCACAGTGTGCAGGCAGACGCCACAGTGTGCAGGCAGACGCCACAGTGTGCAGGCAGCACACACATTACGCTTCGTATCATGTCGCTCATAGCCTTTTACATTTACGTTAACAAGCTGCTTCCTGCGCACACAAGCGGTCGGTGTCTTCCCACAGCTTCTGTGTGATCCTCCTCCTCCGTCTCTGCAGGAGGACAATGGCATCCCGATCCACTTGAAGGGCGGCTCTGGCGATGCACTCCTGTACCGGGTCACAATGGCACTCACTGTGTTTGGTAGGTGCACTGAATTTCGCTCTGATATTGAGATCGTTGGCACTTTCATATTTCTGTTTCTGCTGCATTTTAAGCTAAATGTTTACAAAACAATGTGGCTTATTTGTTGGGTCATGCTTCACTGTTGCTCACTTACAATCCTTGGATCCCTTTTTCTTCTCCAGGAACTGGCTATGTCATATATGAATTGGTATCTGCTGCTTTTCCCAAGAAGAAGGACTGAATTTCATGTTCACCCCTGTTTCAAATCACCGTTTTCAGTTGTAAACTATGTTAATAATCAGGGAATGAATTTTGTCCGGTCATACTGGCAATTGTTAATGTAATTGGGATCAATATTTATTGATTGTACTGTACTAAACTGCAAACAATAAAAGCAGCTTCCAAGACCAGCCTGTTAATTATTTTTGTCATTTAGCAGGTCAGTGGCTTTCTACAACTTTTAGTAGCATTTGTTGTATTTTGTATATTGTTTTTTTGTGTGTTTTTCTTTTTTTAATATTTCGTCTACACATCAAAATTCAGTATTTCTGTTTTATGCATAAGGTGAAATTCAGTTTTCTAGCAAGTGCTTTTGAGAACTGCATCCTTACCATGCATCGTTCCTGAGGTTGTCTTGGTTGGGTTGGTTTTGCTTGTTTTGTGTTTTGGTAATGCTCTTTGTAATTATAAGGCAACACCAAGATTATCACACTAAATTGTGATTTCACAGTCTGCTACAATGTTTGTTTTTTGGTATCAGGCTTTCAATTTTAGCTCACTTTTAAATATTCAGGTACTTTAAGTACCTTTCCAGTCCTCCGGGTGGCAGTGTGAACCCACCATTAGCTCCTTATTAGGTGTGGCCATTACACCCAATGGCTCCGGGTTCTGGCTGGTCCTGCTCTCCATAGAAGCATCTGCTAAATATAATTGAGCAATGTTCTCTAAAGCACTTGTACAAGCAGTGTGGGAAATTTCCCCCGCAGTGGTGTGAGAGGTGGATCAATAATAAAGGAAGAATTTAGCTGCTCTTGCTGTTTAATGTCCCTCAACAAGCCTAAGAAGTTGTTACTTTTTCGACTGGAATTGTTGGCTCAGTCAATTGAGAATTGATGGGACGGTCCTTATGGATGACA